AGCCGTTCACAGCCCGGCACACGTATTTGTAAAATCTAAGTGACTCGTACAACGCGGAATTCATATAACACGGAATTATCAAGTGTTATAGGGGATCTACCGTATTATAAGATTTTCAGTTTCAAGTAAATTTTCTTAATTCTGCATACATTTACCACACATATTACAAATACGTGAGCCGTTCACAGCCCGGCACACGTATTTGTAAAATCTAAGTGACTCGTACAACATGGAATTCATATAAAACGGATTAATCAAGTGTTATAGGGGATCGACTGTATTTGATCTAATTTTTTGCTATAATTATTTAAAATTTTGCTCAAATTTAAAGCTTTTAAAGCGATTTAATATCTGAATTTTTGAGCATTTTTCTTTAATAGGCCTATTTGTCTTTTTTTTTTACTCGAAATAAGATTTAAATTTTTTAAATATTAGCTCTAATTTAAGTTAGAACTACGAAAATTAATTTTGGAGAAGTTTTCGCGCATTTCTACTCGATTCTTCGATCAAAAATTTAATTGAAAACATCAAAAAATCAACTTTTGTATTATAATTTTGTGGAAAGAAAGGGAAAAATTTGTTTTCTTAGTTAATTCTTTAACAATTTCTCGAAATCATTAGAAGATAATGTAGAAAATGTAACTAGAAAAAGGCGCGTATAAAATGATTATACATTGATAATTTCAAGACGTGTTATTGCTCAAACAGTATCATAGTAGAGAGTAGACACTGTATATGTGTATAATGTTCCCGTGTGTGTGGTCAGACTGTATGATGGCTGACAACGAGTCATTTCTTTGCTGATGGATGACATGTTTAGACAGAGGTTAAGTTAAAGTCGTCGCATATTCTACCTATCTCGACAATCGACTTGTTAATTTATTATATTTAAGGAAGATACCGCACTCGTTGTATATGATTAGTTTGAATTTACATAAAGACTACAAATATATGTAGATTTATATCGGATTATGCACATATCCGTTCAGGTATTCAAAGACTAAATGTGTGTTATCTTCGATCAAAAGAAAAAAAAAAGAAAAGAAAAGAAAAGAAAGCATCTACTGATAGGGCTTACGTGGGGTTAATGTGATCTGTAAACAGTAGCTTTAAATAATGATGAGATATCATTATCAGATAATAATCAGAGTTTTCTCTCTTCATCCTATGTAATGTTAACTATAATGGCTTATTGTGTCATTTATATTGCGTTTTGCATACGAAATTTTATGTTAAAATTAATTTTTTCTGGTTTNAACTTAAATTGTTCATTATAAATTTTGTAAATTCTATTAATAATTAAATTGAAAATTTAATTATTATTAGATTGTATAAAGATTAATTATATTTTCTAAATTAAGAGTTAACTTTTCGAAAAAGGAAAATTTTTCCTCTACCAAATAATGGATTTAATAAAAATTTATGAGTTTGTATTTTAAACCCACCTGCAAAATTTAAGAAAAAATTACAAAATTTGATTACTTTATCAATAATCTTTATCACGTTCTATTTTACTTTTTTTTTTCTTCTTTATTTTCCGAAAGTAAGAAATGACTAGAGGCTAAGATCAATAGCCTTTGAGTACGCCAAAGAGATAAAACACTTATCGTTTTCTATTTACTAAATCCTATTAAATGATTTCGCTCTTACTAAAAAGCTATAAAAATTGAAAGAACCATCACAAGAAACGATTTGACGAATATTAACCATCAATAGGAGAATATAACTATATAACTCCGCCTTTAACTTAATGAGATCCAATAAGATGATATATGTTAATCAACCTACCAATAATGTTCAACAAAGTTAGAAACGAACGTTGATTGGTTATTTGGAGATTTATGGGAAGCGCAACTACTTTACATACTTTCGTATGTTAATTAAATGAAAAAATAAGTTAAAAAACAAGTCATACTCAAAGCGTTTGTTTTCAACTCATAACGGTACAACTAACCATTGATTCAAATCACATTCTCAGACCAGGAAGGTTAAGAAAATATACCCTCGAGTAATTTAGCCTTTTATCAGTGATTGTGACATTTGTGATATACCTTTAAGCGTAAATAAGGAATATATAAACGCGTAGAACGTAACTCAAAATTAAATAATATTTTACATTTCCTGGAATTATAAATTCGGTACTAACCTCCAAATATCCGGTAAGGGACTGTATTTTTCTTGATCTGATTTGTCGACTTTTTCTAAACCGGGAAGTTTGTAATATTCGTATAATAAACTCATACCGCTATTTTGTTCTTCGTTGGCACCGTTGATATTAAGCATTGCTGTTGTTGCCGCAGTTAGAGGATGTTCATAATATGCCCGCCAACCTTCATCCCCTTCGGGCATTTCCGTCATGCGATCTGAAGAATTAGAGCTCGCTGGAACGATCGCTACAGGGATATCTTCTGTAGATATCGGTTCTTTTGATTTACTGCAATTCACAAAAAATACATTTAATATCATTAGCATTAGAAATAGTTTCCGAATTTACATATATAGTTAACCTTTAACCTTTCTGTGCTGGGGTTTTTTTTTTATCAGCACTGAAAAGCTTTTAATAAAAATATAGGCTACTTAGCCTAATTCTAAAACCTTCCAATAAGTATTATAAATAACTCTCAATTATTTTAATTGATGGTTATTTAGAATACTAATTCACATTTTTCTTAATTAAATATAGCCTAATTAACTGATTTAGAATCATTAAGATAAATAAATTTTATGCTTCATAAAATAAATAAATAAATGTTTCTAAGTTTTAAGCAGTTTTTCTACTAGATATAAAGTGTAATTATTAAATATAGTCTATCAATAAAGTATATGTAAAGTGTAATTATTAAATATAGTCTATCAATAAAGTATATGTAAAGTGTAATTATTAAATATAGTCTATCAATTTTTAAAATAATAAATAATAAAATTTCTGATTAAAATACGATAATGTATAGTCTATATTACTGCATATACCAGATTGCATAAAAGTAACAAATACTATTGTGCAAAATTCTAGATAAATTAAAGAAATGGTTAATTTTTAGGTTAAAAATTCTATCATTAAAGTTAAAATTTAACCTAAATATTGCATTAAATATATTAAAATGGAGAGTCTATTCTTACCTGTGGAAGCCCGCTACTATCTCTTGGAGTGATGGTCGTATCACCTATACCACTATCAGGTGAATGTAGATCGACAGCTAAGGCATGAAGGGAAGTTTTGTAGTTAGAATTATGGCGAATGAATCGATCGACGAATGTATTATCTGCAGGATCGGAATAAGACGCGAGATGCTGTCGAACAGTCTGATACTGATCGGAAGAGGAGTAATAATCTCGATAACAATCACTCGGTGTCAAAGTGTAAACAGTTCTTGAACTCTGACTACTGTACTGAGGTGGCGACGGACTGGAAACAGGAACCACATTCGTGAGCACCCCATATTGAGGTACAGTCAGTCCATCTGGATAAGGAGACTGAGATATATTGGCATAAACTTGTGTACCGTAAGTGTGATTTGGACTGGTATCACCCAAAGAGACCACAGTGGCACCCACGGCTTGCATTTCACGATTCTTATTCGAGTCAATAACCTGTCGGGTGACCACGGTTGTGACCGGTGGAAGAGGAACACTCACTAGATCGACAGGTGTAGGAGAGGATACTTCTGGTGAAAGTTGTTCTTGTTTAACACGAATCGGAGACGACGATTCTTCACCATTCAACAAACTACTTAATTTGCTTGGTTTAGGAGAGACTGGCTCTCCTTTGATACCATTAACTGTTGGTGAATCTCCGTTTTCTGATTTGCAGCCTTCGGATCCGAGGTAGACGTCGACGTCTGAGTCTACCTGTCCGTTGGTGGTGGCATGTTTCGACGTTCGGTCCACTGCGTCGCTGGTTGCTTGTGACGTCAGCGTGGCACTGGAGAAGAGAGAGAGGACTGTGACGTCAGATCACCAGGAAATAAAACTATTCTAGAGAGCGGCAGGGACAGACACACACACGCGCGCGCGCACACACACACACACACAAATACTTGGCGAGAGAAAAAGAGAGGCGGTTTTTTTTTACCTGAGCGGAAAGGTGTGGCAGTTTATCTCGTAAAATAAGTTGCTTAACGGATTGGGGTTAGATTAAACATAAATATTATTATTATTTTTATTATTTTTTCTATATCCGTTGAACACATAGGCATTCCAATATCGAAAGTAAAGGAAATTAAATTAAACGTTTTCTCTCTTCATCCTATGTAATGTTAACTATNCGGAAAACACCAAAATATTCATATAAAACTATTCTTTCACTTAAGTATATAATATAGAAATTAATAATTATCATAATTAAAAAATTTTTTTTTATAAAATTAAGAAAAAATAACATAGCTAAATCCAATAATTAAAAGTAATCTAATATATGAACTTGGTAAAAAAATAGACTAAACATTAAAATCAGGATAAACAAAAAACAATAAAATTATCAGCTGTAACACGAGTAATTTTAAACATAATATCCTCTATAACAAGAATTTTCATTATATCCCGGCATCGACCTCTCTCTCTCTCAGGTTAAGTTCTAAATCGGAAGTATGGGTCACGAGGGGATAAGGGAAGGTAGATGTCCTTGTTTGAAGTAAAGCAAGACAGACAGTAGATCGGCGATACACTGATGCAGGTGAATAATAATATAATAAAAAAAAACACTTCCCCCACCCTTAGTAAACAGGTTACATTTAACCTTGGTTGAAAGATAGAATGGTACGAGGTGCGAGAATCACATTACGAGAGTCGATTGTGTCGGTTAAGTGGAGGAGGTCTAGTGATTGGGTCGACAAACTCTTAGTGCTGATGTGTCAACAGTAATTTGATTATCCCGTCGGACCAGATATTATCTCATGCAAAGATGCTCGTGGGAAAGACTGAGATGGATGTCAGGTGATATCGGGAAAGTATAAACAAACTTGGATTAAGATAAATCTGTCAGCCATAGTTGGAGTGGGAAATTGTTTATTTATCCGTTTCGGTCTTTTAACAATGCAAACATTTGCAATTTGAATAAATTTATTTTAATTATTTCATTTCTGTTTTGATAATTACAAAGTTTCTGGTATTAAAATTCCCTCCAGAAATAGAATGACAAATATTTTAAGCTAGAATTTCCCATTTGTTACTCCATAATTAAAATTTATTTTCGTATTAATTTAATCCACACTTCTCTCCCCCTAAAATTACTTGGTAAATATAAACTAATTTGAATATTCTAAAGCAGTGTTTTTCAACCTTCTCGAATACGCGACCCCTTTACAAGTTAAAAAATTCTGGCGACCCCCCAAGGGCCATATTAAAAATATATCAGTGATTTTAAAAACTATGTATTTAATTTACTTTCTGTTGAGAGCTAAATATCGATCGAAAAACCAATTGTACTGTAAACTTTACAGTGCAATTGGTTTTTCAGGTTTATTTTACAGTGTAAAATAAATAGGCACAGCCTTTTCACTAAAATTGTAGTTTTTTTTATTGTAATGTAGGACCTACAAACACTTGTCTTTTTCTTTTACCCGCGACCCCCGTATAAGGCTTTGCGACCCCCCTAGGGGTCGCGACCCACAGGTTGAAAAACACTGTTTTAAAGTGATCAACGTGATAAAGGTGAATTTTTTCCAGTTAAAATATTCATAATGTTCAGTTTAAAAAATTATCGATATATGCTCCAATATACTGAGGCAATTTACATTCAAATCGGGGTATAAATTGGGCATAAAATAACCCAATAAATTTGGCATTCACAATAGATGCTTCAATGTATTTGGGTATTTATTGGGTGCTAAATATATGAGGACATCTCTTGGGGGGTACTAAAAGCATTTGGGGCATCAATCAATCCTTCGTATAATATTCAAAAATTAATTTTAATTTAATTTTTTTTAAAACTAACTTAAAAAGTTCTAATTAAAAATAATTCTTTACTCTCTTAAACTTAATCTAGATCCTATTTTTGGCATTTAACTGGGAATTTTATCGTATCATGATACGTTAAAAATTGATCTACGTCATGACCGGGTCATATGCAGATTAATTATAAAGGTCACAGTTTAAAAAATAACAATAATAATACCCAATTAGGTCATAGAAATACTGCTAAAAGATGATTTGATTGAATTACAAAAGAAACAATGGTTTGGAAAAATCAAAAATTGGACCACACCCTACTCGAGGGTCGAAAGTAAAAGAAAAATTTAAACTAGTCTATAAAATAACCTATGCAAGCATAGGCCAATGCCACGTATAGGACCCCGAGTTGAGAGTCCTTCAATGTCTCTCTCTTTTTTCTTTTTTTTTTTCTTAAAATTTCTCTACCTCTTCGGAACCAAACCGTCAATCTGGATAACTCTCAAAGGTCGGACAATTTCATAACTTTGAGAACGACATTGAAAATCGGGTGGCGTTGTTATGACAACGGGAATAGTCTAATATTACGGTGGGTGGAGTCCAAAGAGGGAGGGGTTAATGGGAGTTGGTAGTCCTACTATGACCTAGTACTGGGAAATTTTCAAGGAGTTTTTTATTAATTCAAAAAATTCCCTGTCAAATAAATGCCTACCCCTTTTTTTTAATGATTTGTATGTATAATTGGAGATTGGTACGTATAGAATTTTTGAATTATATTACTCAATTATAATGTTATCGAGTGAAATGTTAACAATATTCGATTAATGTGCTAGCCAACAAAATATTTACTCCTAAAATTGTTCTTATTACATACAAAATTTTGTTTTTCGTACACATTCTAATAGTTGTGGTATAATTCCCCCCCCGTGTATTTGCTTACTACATTTGTGACGCCACGAGAGTACGAATCTCACTTTCAAACGTAACTTCCGTTTCCGGTTCAGAGAATAATGAATATACAATAAAAATATAAACTTGTGGTACACGATACAACTTATCATAGCATAGGAAATGTCATCCTAACAGACAAGCAAACACATGTATTACGTTCAAGTAGACCCGTATCTTTCCATCGATTTACAAAATAAAAATCACCTATTTCACATAGAAAATAACGATAAATTTTCTATAAAAGTGTGAATTCTCATAGAAAAATAAATAAATTACTCGTATATAAGTAGCATTAAGAAAAATTCTTAATACACACGCACGATAAATTATAAAAACTGAGCAAATGAGTAATAGATTAAGTCGATTTCATAACTTTAAATTATAAATCTCACGTATAATATAAATTCTTATTTTCCTCAATATATTCCAATCATAAAAATTTCAATTATTAAACCAGATATAGGCTATAAATATATAACCGATTTCAACCGGGAGGAAAAAACTATAAGAAGAATTAGAAGAAGAATGATAGAAAAAATTAAAAAATAAAATAAAAATCATTCTCTTGCTTGATCAGACTATAAACTATGTCAGAATAATTACACTACAGGGTTGTCACGGATTCAACCTTGGTTCAATTGCCAACAAATGATACACTCGAAGGTAGCGTTGCACAAGGTCACGGTTCGGTTCGCAATTAAGTGATCTTGTTAGGTCATTGGCTGTGTTCGACTGAGGATTTTACACATAGATCGACCGTTAAATTATTATTATAGTCGATATAACTATCGAAATTCTTCTTAACTCTTACGTATGATAATCTATAGCTTAGAGAATACATAAAGAAATCCTGGCTACAAAATTTATTATCTCCAGATAATTTCCTTTTCGACCTTGATTAAACCGAGTCCAAGGTTTATTAATGGGGGCATTAGGAGCGGAATACTTTAATTTTATAATGAAACGGCTAGGTTCAATTAAATAAACTTTAAAATTGCATCCTATTTTGTATGCTAAACATTTAAAACTAGTCTAGAATATTATAATAAATTATAAAAATTATTTTCTTTTATTTATTTGTTAATAATATTTTAATCGATATTTTAAAATATATATTAAAATTAATATATAACCTTCGTTTTCTATAGCCGGGGTAATTAAACATTTTATGTAAAAAATATTGTTGCGTGTGTTCTAAATTATAACTTAGGTCTACTTAGTAGCCTATTTTTTCAACGTTTGAGCTGATATTTATTTTAAAAAATTAATTAAAAATGTATACATTTGAATAATTTAAGTAAAAACGCATTAAATATTATTTAAATTATTAAAATTAGGCTTTTTTCGTTAATTTTTTGAGCCTATATCAATTAAGATTTAAGGGGGAAATGTACTGTACTACTGTATGATATTAAGTAGAGTCGGGTTATAATTTAAAAGACACGCAATAATATCTTTTAAAAATCACAAAAATATATAAATTTACATTTTTAAATAAATAAATAATTCGAATAATTTAAATTATATTTTATTTTTAAATTTTTATTTATAGTTTTCTAAATTATAACCCGACTCTACTTCAGTACGTTTTATCTAAATCTTACTTCTTAACTTAAATATTAATCGCTATTTGTTTACAAAATTAAAAAGGAAACATTAATTTGAATAATTTAAGTAATATTTTATGTTTTTTAATTAATTTTTTAAATAAATAGCGATTAAAATTTTAAGGGAAAACGTACTGTACCAAGCTAGACATGTTATAATATAAAAGACAACCCAATAGCTGCTTTATAAAATATAATAAAAACCATATTAAAATTCGAATAAAATTTAAATAATATATATTTATTTTTACTTTAAATTTTTAAAAATTTCATTTTTATTATTTATATATTTTTATTAAAGTTGATAAACTTCTTTGTTGTTTGTAATTATATATCATTACATGAAAGTAACAACAAATATTATAATAATATATTTTAAGCTTATTTATATTAAAAAAACAAAAAAATAAGTTTAAAAGTCACTTTTAATTTTTAAAAAATATTTTAAAATTAAAATTATTTTATAACTGGTTTCGGCAAGTTGTTCGATAAAAGGACTCGTGTATAAAAATCTTTTGAGTTATCAGATTAATCTCTAGATGATAATTTTAAAATAAATTTTTGAAATTTACCAATTTTTACTCGAATTTAAGATTAAATTTTACAATTAATATAAGGTTACCTCAGTTTAAATCTAATATTTATGTAATTTAAATGTAATCTAGACTAGTTTCTTTAGAAGTTTAAAAGTTTTATTCAGTTAAATTATAGGTAAAATGTATAAATCTTATTCTTCTAGCTTTTCAAAGCTTAACTTTACAA